AAAATTATGTGACAAAATTATTATGATTTTTAAGTACTCTTTCCAGGTCATTTTCTTGTTTGTTTATTTTTGTTTTTAAATTGTTTACCAATTTTCTTGTTTTTATTTTTCTCTCTTTTTTTTTATCAATTTCTTGCAAATTTTTTGTTAGCATATTTTTTGCTTTGAATTAAAAAATATAATATATAATAATATATATAATAGGTTTTTTTTTTTCAAAAGTAGGGGAAAAAGTTAGAGAAAACCTATATTTATATTATTATAATTACATTTTTAAAATTACGTTGCAGAATTATTAGGTCATTTTCTTGTTTTTTTAAATATAAATTTTCTTGTTTTTATTTTCCTCCTTGTATTTATTTCCTGATAATTTTGTTAGTATATTTTTTGTTTTGGTTTTTTATTGTTAAGTCACTGCTCGGGTTTCAAAGGGTTAAAAGAAACATTAAAAATATATTTTAAAAAACAACATAAAAATACGGTTGTAAGCGACGGTTTAACGTAACGTGCTGGCAAGCCTCGCGACATTTATTAAAATATTAAAACAGCAATAGTGATATATAAAAAAACATTTCATGCTACTTTTAAACTGTTTTAATGTTTTATTAAAGTACTTTTTAAGCTTTAAATTAATTTTCCCCTGACATGACCTTTGACCCGCCGCGCGCTCCCGACGTTAAATCAGTGCCCGGGAAGCACGCGCTGGTCCAGTCCTGTGAGAGGAGGCGGCAGCAGCAGAGAGGAGGAGAGGAGAGGAGAGGAGGAGAGGAGAGCGGCCGGGACTCGAGGAGAAGGAGAGGACGGAGAAGAGGAGGAGGAGGAGGAGGAGGAACAGCGTTTAACTTCACAGCGGGTTAACTCCACATGTCGGGCTGAACTCGTCCTCACGATGTGAAGTTTAAACGGAACTTTTATCGCGGAACGTCCGCAGGATTTAACCCACCGGCGGAGCGCCATGGACGGGACAGCCGGAGCGGCAGCTCCCCTGTGACGGTCCGACACGGAGCTACAGTGCGGAGTTCACACGGTGACATTAATTACCTTTCAAAATGGCGTCTTTTTTTATCTACTTTATCATAAATGAAGTTTAAACCGGACGTCAGCTAACGGCCACACACAGACAGGTCAAACTGAAGCTAGCTTAAAGCGCTGTCAGATGCCTCTGCTCACTGGGAGGGCTACTGGTTTCTACTGGTTTCCACTGTGTGCGGCTTGTTTACTGTAAAACAAGAGTTTATGGATTTCCTCCAGCGTCACTGTGAGTAAACAACAACAACAACAACAACAAACATGTATGCAGGACGGAAGAGAAGAAAACCGGCTCAGAAAGGGTGAGTGTCGTTATTCAAGGAGCCATTAAGTTGTTCTCATTCACTAATGACACCTGTTTTATTCTGTTAAAATAATTATAACAGTTATTAAAGATAGTCCATTGAGCAACATTCATATGGAGGGTCTTTATTTGTCAATATTAATATTGATTCTGTGGCTGATAGCACCAAGAATAATGAATTAAGTTAATAATAGTATTAGGGCTGCAACCATTAGTCGACTAATCGATGACTAATCGACTATTAAAATAATCGGTGACTATTTTAGTAGTCGACTCATCAGTATCTAATGTAATTTTTATCGAAAAATACTATAAAAATACCCCAAAATACTCTTATTGCAGCTTCTTACGTTCAAATATTGGCAGCTTTACACACTCTCCCGTGACGGTGAACTAAAACCCTTTGGCGTGAGTACGAAACAAGACATTAGATGACATTATTTTGGGGTTTGGGAGAGACAGACCGACATTTTTCAACATTTTAACACATTTTTCTTTAAAATGATGAGTTGACTAATTGAGGAAATAATTGACAGATTAGTCGACAATGAAAATAATCGTTAGTTGCAGCGCTAAATAGTATATACTCGTCCATACCCACTGAGTGCACAGTTGCCCACGCACAGTTTGTTTGATTAAATATGAACCAATGTATTCAGACAGAGTGTTTGTGAATCTGATAGTACGATGGCTTTATTGAAAGTACAGTAGTACCATTGCCAATAGTGGGATAGTTAGTGGGCTAAAACTGTACATTAGTAGTTGAGGCAGCACGTTGAAAGGCAGATAGTTAAAGTGTTTACACCAACATTGGTCCACAGGGGGAGCCACAGCGATCGGTCGCATTTTAGCCATTTTGAAGCATTTTTCTGTTGTTATAGCGCCACCCAGTTGCCAATTAGAGTTAAATTTCTCCAGTCACCTTGAGGCGTCCTGTTCTACATATCTACCAAGTTTAGTAAAAATCCATATGGCGGTTAGGCCTAGATAAGAAATGAGCTCTCTAGCGCCCCCATTTTGTTTGATGGGGTCAATAATGGAGGGGTCCCCTCAGATTATGTGTGGTCATATACCTACAAAGTTGCGTGGTGATGGGTGAAACCCTTGAGATGTTATACACCTTTATGTGATGAGCCACGCCCTCCGCAATATTCATTGCCTTATAGAAGCTCAGTTTTAGTAAGTTTTCCAACTTTTGCCAAGAGGGAACTTTAGATATTGATCCCTAGATTATGTTCACCCAGTTTCATGCAGATCACTCAAACTTCCTAGGAAGAGATCCATTTGAAGTGTTTTTCAAAAAATTCAAAATGGAGGAAAATCTATATAAGCGGAAGTTATGGGTTCTTGAGGCAAATGTGTTCCTCATGAGGAGAGGCATCTCTGTGCAAAGTTTCATGTCTCTACCAAATACGGGGCATGAGATATGCCCATTCAAAGTTTGACATTTCAATCGGTTGCTATAGCGCCCCCCTGGTAAATAATTTGACTGATTTAGAGGAATATAATCGCATATTAAATGTTTTGAAGCTGCATATTGTCACATTATATATCTCAAATTTATTACCTTTTTATTCCAAGTTTATTTACTGACTTGTCTTCAAGCAGCTCAGCAGAACATCAGGAATAAAGATGACCACACAGTCTAGTATGCCACAGAAAGTTTCATTTGTACGTGCCATCCTTAATCCACCACCAACACACACTTGTGACCTTGTAAGCGTTAAATATAGGCGTCCTCCCTTCATGTCCAGAGTCAAACCGACCCCAGCCGAAGGCACCAAGTCCAACCCGTCCAAACGCCACCGTGACCGCCTGAACTCAGAGCTGGACCGGCTCGCCAGCCTGCTGCCCTTCCCCGAAGACGTCATCTCCAGCCTGGACAAGCTGTCCATCCTGAGGCTGAGCGTCAGCTTCCTCCGCACCAAGAGCTTCTTCTCCGGTAAGAGCACGACATCACAATGAAACACACGAGGAAGCAGCATGTGACGTGGTTTAAAAGTGCACAGCATCGTCCTCCCAATCAGATCTGCCCTCTCCATCGACTGGATTGAAGTAAATAAAGTAAATTTCAATGCATTCATTTGATTTTCAATGAAGATGCTCTGGTAACAGTTGCTTCATATTGTTTATGTGGACTTCAAAACTGTTTTGAAATGCGCATTTGTCTGAAAATGTATTAATAAAATGTCAGAAAAATATTAATTAAATGTTGGAAAAAATACTAATAAAATGTCCAAGATATATTGAAGAAAATAAATAGAAAAAAAACAATAACAATAGAAAACAATAGAAAATAAAAAGACATAAAAATATGACTAAAATATCCAGAAATATATTAATAAAATGTCTGACAAATATGTTAATAAAATGTCCAACAAATATTATTATAATATCAGAAAAAAATATTAATATAATGTAAGATAAATGTTAACAAAATGCCGGAAAAAAACATTAATTAAATGTCCAAAAATATATCAATAAAATGTCTGAAAGTATATTAATAAAATGTCCGATAAATATTATTATGATATCAGAAAATATATTAATAAAATGTCTGACAAATGTTAAGAAAATATCAGAAAAAAAAACATTAATTAAATGTCCAAAAATATATCAATAAAATGTCTGACAAATATTAATATAATGTCGGGAAAAACAATTAATAAAATGTCTGAAAGTATATTAATAAAATGTCCGACAAATATAAATAAAATATCAGAAAAAAAATATTAATAAAATGTTGGAAAAAATACTAATAAAATGTCCGAGATAAATTAAGAAAATGTCCGGCAAATATTAATAAAATGACAAACAATAAAAAAAATTAAAAATAAATGTCCAAAAATATATCAATAAAATGTCAGACAAATATTAATATAATGTCGGGAATTTTTTTTTTTTGGTTTAAAAGTGGTGACGATGACGACTCGTGAAATTAGCACAGACAGAAGGAAAGTGAAGCTGGTAAATGTCAGTGTGTCGTCTTCCTCGCCGCCGCCGACTGGAACACTGGCTTTTCACACCTCGCACAGGACCCGCGGACACAGAGGCACAAAAACACGCAGGAACAGACAGTGGAAGGTTTCACGTTAAAAGACGGAAGGTGAGGGAGAGTCTGAGTTCACACAGTGACGCCAAAAGTCTCTGTTTCTGAATATATGTTTTCATAAAGATTTAGAGGTCGTGACCTTTGCGTCTGGGCTTCAGACTCCCGTCTAAGAAGCGGTGAAGTGGCTTTGTCGAGGAGTAAGCAGGATTATAGGCATAGCAGATGGATTTTGGGGATGTAGGGGTGTGTGTGTGTGTGTGTGTGTGTGTGTGTGTGTGTGTGTGTGTGTGAGAAACGTGAGCAGATCGAATGTGTGTGTAAACCGTATAAAGATATCTTTAACCTGCGTCTCTCTGCTGAAAAACACATTAGCCGCCCCCGTTCCACGCTGCCCCTGCAGAACCAGGTCAGCAGACCCATCTCCGTTTGAGTGCGTGAACCCTGGACGACCCCCCCCTCATCGCCGCGTCTTAATACATCCTCAGCGTATTGTAGGTCAGCTCCTCTCGCCCGTGGCCACGAGTCGACCCTTGTCCCAAAGTCTCAGTCACACAGTAATGTAGGTCTGAAGAGACTGCGGAGAGGAGGCGGGAGGAGGAGATGAAAGCCTCGGAGAATAAAAACACGGCGGGATAATCCACTCACGGCCGCTTTACAGACCTTTTGAAGAAAGGAGCGGGGGAGGCACAGGTGCCCACTTTTCAACTTTTGACTCCTGCAACCTCAGAGAAGCCCCCGTCTTAATTTCTCTCAACTTTCAGCTCTCCAAAACTGCTTCCCCCTTGTGTTTGTGTCTGTCCGCCTCATGTAGCAGCAAATGCAGGAGAACAAAATGCCAAATGTATTTCTGCTGAGGTCAGGGCTCGACGCTGCGTTCAGGACGTCTGGTGAAAACTGATGAACCCTACGGTTCAGCTGTCATCACATTTACTCCTCTGCTGCACCACGTAAACTCTGAAATCTAAACTTTACTCATAAAGCAAATCATCCATCCAGGCCTGTGTGTGTGTGTGTGTGTGTGTGTGTGTGTGTGTGTGTGTGTGTGTGTGTTAGGCCACATCTGTTTCCATGTGAGGCCATCTGCCAAGTGCTCAGAGCAGATTAGTGGTTACTTACTTAATGCAGCAGCATTGTCTATTATTTCCTGCCTCTGCTGTTTCCTCGCTGCTTGTATCCGTGGAGACCATCAGCATGTCTCTACCTCTAAATCTGTGACAGTGAGCGCTGTCAGTGTTGAGACCTCCTCTGATTGTGAAGTCCCTCCGATCAGCTGACCTGGGCCTCCTGACTGTCCCACGCTCCAGCTTCAAGTTCAGGGTTGATCCAGCCTTTGCTGTGTCTGACCCTGAACTGTGGCACAGCATCGCCCTCCCAGTCACCTCACTGTTGTAGCAGCAAAGCACTGAATTGAAGTAAATAAATCTAATAGTCAAGATCAGGAAGTAAATTTCAATGCATTCATTAGATTTTCAATGAAGACGCTCTGATAACAGTTGCTTCATATTGTTTATGTGGTCTTCAAAACTGTTTTGAAATGCGCATTTGTCTGAAAATGTATTAATAAAATGTCAGAAAAATATTAATTAAATGTTGGAAAAAATACTAATAAAATGTCCGAGATTTATTTAAAAAAAAAGTCCAACAAATATTAATTAAACAACAGAAAAATATGACTAAAATGTCCAAAAATATATTAAGAAATTGTCAGACAAATATTAATAAATTATCGGAAAAAACATTTATAAAATGACAGCAAAAATATTAATAAAATGTCAGAAAATATATTACTAAAATGTCTGACAAATATTACTAAAATATCAGAAAAAATATTTATAAAATATCAGAAAAAGTATTAATAAAATGTCCAACAAATATAATAATAAAATGTCCTACAAATATTAATAAAATATCAGAAAAACTATCAATAAAATGTCTGAAAATATTCATTAAATGTCAGGTTAAATATTGAAAACATATGCAAAAATATGTTTATTAAATGTCTGACAAATATTAATAAAATGTCGGGGAAAAAATGAATAAAATGTCCAAAAATATATTAATAAAATGTTTGACAAATATTACTAAAATATCAGAAAAAATATTTATAAAATGTCAGAAAATATATTAATACAATGTCCAAAAATATTATAATAAAATGTTGGACAAATATGAATAAAATATCAGAAAAACTATCAATAAAATGTCCGAAAATATATTAATAAAATGTCCAACAAATATTCATTCAATGTCAGGTTAAATATTAAAAACATATCCGAAATTATGTTTATTAAATGTCTGACAAATATTACTAAAATATCAGAAAAAACATTTATAAAATGACAGAAAAAAATATTAATAAAATGTCCAAAAATATATTAATAAAATGTTTGACAATTATTACTAAAATATCAGAAAAAAATATTAATAAAATGTCCAAAAATATGTTAATAAAATGTCCAACAAATATACATTAAATGTCAGGTTAAATATTAAAAGCATATCCGAAAATATGTTTATTAAATGTCTGACAAATATTAATAAAATGTTAGAAAAAAACATTTATAAAATGACAGAAAAATATTAATAAAATGCCCAAAGATGTATTAATAAAATGTCCAACAAATATTCATTAAATGTCAGGTTAAATATTAAAACATATCCGAAAATATGTTTGTTAAATGTCTGACAAATGCTAATAAAATGTTAGAAAAAAAAATGTATAAAATGACAGAAAATATATTAATAAAATATCCAAAAATATATTAATAAAATGTTTGACAAATATTAATGAAATATCAGAAAAAATATTAATAAAATGTACAAAAATATATCAATAAAATGTCAGACAACTATTAATGAAATATCAGAAAAAATATTAATAAAATGTCCAACACATATTCATTAAATGTCAGATTAAATATTAAAAACATATCCGAAAAAATGTTTAATAATGTCTGACAAATATGAATGAAATATCTGAAAAAATATTCATAAAATGTCCGATTGCAATTAAAAATGTGATTAATTGCGATCAAAAAAATAATAATTTGACAGCCCTCGTCACAATAAATTCCCAGATAGATAGATCAACACTGTGTGTGACGATAACTGAAACAGTAAAACATGTCTCCATGAATATTTCATACGCACCTCTTTAAGCCCAACACCCACAAACACACTGTAGTTTGCACATCTCTGTTGTTGCTGTTGTCATTCGGGGGACGCTCCCCTCCCGTCAGCTCTGCCGCTGCACTCGCTTGAACCTTTGAAAAATTTATTTCGGTCACAGCCGTGAGATGCTGGATTAGACGGGTCATTGTTTGTGTCACCGTCCCACCGGGCGGCCCGTCCAGACTGTGTGTGTGTGTGGCTGCTGCAAGTGGATGAGGAGGAGTTCAGATTTTGGCAACAGTTCAGAACAGAGGTAAAAGATGAGGAAGATGATTTGAGCTGCCTTTATGTTTCCCTATGTGCCCTGGCACAGTGAGTCAGAGGGGTGAAGAGCGTCTGTTGTGATGTTTTTAATGGCTGTTGGTGTCCTGGTTGCCCTCCGTTGTGCCAACAGAGGTCCCCTCCTCCTCCTCCTCCAGGTCGCCTCGGGGTGTTTTTCTTGCCGCCGGCTCCCGTTCATGACGTCAGGGCGCCGAACACCCCCCTCCACCTCCACCAGGTCTTAATTATTGATAGCCGACATGCTTTTCCTGCTCCTTCTCTCTCTCTCTTGGCCCTGCGAGCTTCCACTACACTGAGCTCTGTCACCAACAGACTAAAGGTTCGGCTCTTTGAATCTCACGTACGACTCGATGAGGCTTCATTGATCCCCGTCAGGAGAAGCAGTCTAAGTGCGGGAACCTTCGCCCTCTGCATTGTCTGAGACTTCCTCTTCCATTAACGTCTCGGCTGCTGCTTCAGAAAGGCTCTTTGTTTCCTTCAGACTTGGCCCACTCAAACACATTTTATCCCCGGGGTCAAAGGCACCGTGCCGGCCTCTGGGTCTTTGTCTCGGGGGTCAGAGGTCACGGAGAAGCCCCCCCTGTGGGACGTTCTGTCTGCCTGACTGTACAGGAGAAGTTTGAGAAGCACAGTGTTCTGCTACGTGCTAAATTTAAACTGTCCTCAACAGGGACGCAAATATTTTTCCATCATGGCTGAGACTCGTGAAACAGAGCCAGCCTCCGTGTGATAAATATGTAACAGTCCAGCTCCACAACACGACGACAGATTCCTTTGTAGAGTTGATTTGTGTTGGATTAAAGTCTGTCACTAACTTCTTCCATCTGCGTCTCTTTCTCTGCAGTGGCGCTGAAGAAGAACCAGCTGTCCAACGGCGTGAAGAAGAGCAGCGATCACAGCGGCGGTCGCGTACCTGAGGGGGAGCTGCTGCTGCAGGTCGGTGAGGCCGCTGTCATGTGTCATGTGATCTGTGGCGTCTTTAATCACGGCTGGTGCTGCGGCTAATGTGGTGTGGAGTTAATGAGTGCGGCTCAGCCAAACAGATGTATTTACACTCTGTAAACATCTGGATACAGTTTGAGCTGCGGTCGCATCACCATCCCTCAGTGCGTCTCTGACATGTTTGTATCTGGATTCATATGTGACAAGTAGCTATCATGTAACCGCTGACGACCCCCTGGCTCTGAGGCTCTGAGGCTTCTTTTCACGTGCATCATGCGGAGAGTTCGTACACAACAACAACATTAACAGTAATTGGCTGTTTTAGGTCAGAAGGAACCTTCAGATGGACGAGAGCAGGAATGGCTGAGTTGCGTCTGAGTTCACCACAGTTGTTTTTCACTTTCATCTCACACTAGTATTGTTTTCACAAGTCAAAGTAATGACAGGGTTGTTTATCTGTCCGGCCCACGAATTTTGGGAGTCGAATATAAATCAAATAGCAGAAAAATGAACACTAATTGAATGCTGAAGTTACTTATCTGTTACGTCATATCAACAAACGATGTACTTAGCAGCTGTGCGTTCGTGGTAACTAAACAAAAGACGGGCGACGACTTGCTGTCTGCCTTCGTTTGTACTTCTTAAACAGAAAACACCCATTTATGTTGTGATATTTACTGAATAAGACACACAGTGTCGCCAACAGCAGCGATAACCAGACATTTTCAGCTCCTTGGCAGCTTCCTCCACCCAGTTTCCCTTCACTGGCTCCTGTACAGCAGGGTCTGTCTTCATTCACCGTTAGTAGGCTCTACCCTCAGTAGCTAGCTAACCCTACACTTTTCAGGGTCTGATTTTGGTTTCGGAACAGGGAAGAAACGTATACAGGGCTGTATGTTAACTTTTTTAGCCCACAGCACTGGTGCTGTAGAGGGTGATAATTTGTAGCACAGGCCAGAAAGTTTGTACCACATGTCACGATAACACATTTTGCTGGGCGATTAATGGCATCAGAAATTATTGCGATAAGCGATAATATTGCGTAATATTGTGCTTTTAAGAACATTTTTATTATTGTTGTAATTTTGCTGTTTTTAGACCATTTTTTAAACTTATATAATGATAATAAAGACATATTGATGCAAGTGCACCCTTTTAAAGAGAAATAAACAAGATATTTAACAAGAATATTTAGGAATGCAAATAAAGAAAATTTAAATATCCGAAATAACGCGTAAAAATACCAAAATAAATAAATAGACCTTATAAATACAACTGTCAGTCTCTCACTCTCAGGTGTGCAGTTAAGTTGGTCGTATTCGCTCTTTTTGTTGAGATGGTTTTCGAACAAACCCGGCAAACCGGCTCGTCGAAATTACTGGGCTCCCCTCTGTCATTTGGTTTAAATCCAAAACACTCCCACACGGGGGCCGTGGAGTTTGGTTTAGGAACAAGTTCCCTGTCTTTGTCTAAAGGTGTGGACACACCAAACCGACATCAAAGAACTAGCGGCGACGAAAGCCAACTGAAAAGCACACTGAAAAGACTACATCCGACGGCCAAGTAGCACGTACGTTCTGCGCCTGCGTGAGAGGAAATAACGCAAAAAGGAAACCGGAAGTCCGAGGAATGCATGAGATAAACAAAGTAGCGGAGTGAGAGAGTGGTACATCCTGTCAGCCAAGGGGTTTCCTCCTTCCTCCTCCTCCAGTTGGATCCAAACGGCGAGCCGGGGCTAGTTGGGAAGCTAGCGGAAGCTAACTGGCTGTGCTTCCCTCCGGTCATGCTGCGGCTAGCACTCCACTAGCCTCACAGCTAGCTCCGGTTTGTTATTCAGGTTACGCTCAACTTGTCGCCTCGTCTCCCCCTCACGAAGAGGTGTGTGTAGCCCATAGCCCCGCCTCCCCCACAGAGACAAAGACATTTGATGACAAGAGCTTTCCCTCCGTTCATTACGCTAATGACTCAACTCACCTGGCTGCCAGACGATGCACGGCAGTGAATGTGCGTCGTGTAGTGAAAAAAAAAAAACGAGAAAAAAACAGACCACACACACAAGCGGCTCGCAAGCAGTCTGTCGCACGCGTGCTACTAGGCAAATAAATTCATCGCACAAACATTTTTCATCGCAAGCAAGTCCAGTTGCCTACGCTTTTAGCACTTACGATTACCATGACCTGGATGACTGAGAATCTTCACCGATATTAATACATGACGTGCTATGATTGGGCCGTCTGTGTTTGAGGGGCGGGACATAGCAAAGGGTCAGTTGTTATGAACTGCGATGACACCTCTAGTAACTAAATGTGTTAGCAACAATAATAACAGGATAAAATTAAGCCTTGAAAAATGGAACAGAACAGATGTTTCCCTCAGGAGCTGGTGGAGACCAAACTAGAGCAAAATGGAGAGGATGTCAGACTCTGAATGAGTGATAATGTTGCTCTGAAACTGCTGGCTGTTGGAATTAGCAACTATTTGCTGATAAGTTCAAAATATAAACCTAAAGAATGATGATATGTAAATCTTTGAGGTCTCATGGCATGGTCCAGAAACGGCCATAAACAAACTAAAGGGAAGTTAAAGCAGTACAAACTAAGTAAGCGCTGGTTTCTCTGCCCTCAATCAGTGCATTGATGAAGGTATTGATCCCAGAGGAGTAAATGGGTCAGTGCAGCAGTGAAGAATCAAGGAGCAGCAGCTTCCTGCCTTCAGCCGCTCTGTTCCATTACAGACACTGACCCATGAATTATACAGAGCCGGTGAACACATCTATTATTGAAGCGAGGGGGGTTTGGATGAAGCATGTGTGTGTTGCTGGAGGTGGAAATCAACTGAAAGCATTTAAAGTATTCGTAGACTTAAACAGTGTATCACCAAATCTTCAACACACCCCTCATGCCTTCATATCGTCCTCGTATAGACCAGAGAGTCGTGTGTGAACTGGGTCAAGATGTGTTGTTTGGAACGGTGTATTCGATGGTAAACACCGAGACAGGAACAGAGCAAGTGTTCCTGTGTTTGCTCTCATCTGACAGAGACAAACAGATGAATCTACAGTAAATATTTATACACAGTGTTTGTGTGCCACTCCCCTCTGCACACTGTATATGACTTCATGTGTGTGTACTGTACTGTGTGCATGTTGGGTGTGGTCACATACTGGACTGCAGGTCGCAGCTTTTTGCATTTTTTAAATGTCCAATTAAAAACAAATCTGATTGTTGATAAATAATGAATTCTGGAAACATTTTCAGGTTTTTAATTCATAAAATCATGAGTGTTTGGTCACATTTCAAAGACTGATAGTGCAAAGAAAGTTTTTTGTATATTTATTTTCTTTACTGATTAATCTCTCGACAACTGTCTGGTTAATTTAATTGTTCTTTAGTCTAAAAAATGTCTGAAAATAGTGAAAACTGTCCCTCATAAGTCCAAAGTGACGTCTTCAAATGTCTTGTTTTTAATGACCAACACTATGGAAGCGTATTGCATTCACTTAACAAATAAAAAAAAAAGCCCTGTTTTTCTGATTAATTTTTTTCTGTTTTTTTTTTTTGTGGTAATTTTTTCTGTTTGTTTTTTTTTTTGGTATTTTTTTCTGTTTTTTGTTTGTTTGTTTGTATGTTTGTTTTTGTGGTAATTTTTTTCATTTTTTCAGGGTATTTTTTCTGTTTTTTGTTTTTGTGGTAATTTTTTTCTGTTTTTCAGGGTATTTTTTTCTGTTTTTTTTGTGGTCATTTTTTTCTGTTTTTCAGGGTAATTCATTTTTCTGTTTTTTGCTGTAATTTTTTTTTTGTGGTAATTTTTTTCTGTTTTTTTTTTGGTTTGTTTTTTTGGGTAATTTTTTTCTGTTTTTTGCTGTAATTTTTTTTTGTGGTAATTTTTTTCTGTTTTTTTTTGTTTGTTTGTTTGTTTGTTTGTTTTTTTGGGGGGGTAATTTTTTCTGTTTTTGTGGAAATTTTTTTCCTGAACGAGGAGACGAGATACTTCAAAATCTCGCGAGAAGCTCCCACCTGGCACCTGCAAGTGACCCCTGCATCCATGGTGACTCCTGCTCATGGATGTATTTTGCATCCGCCCTGCTGCTCCTAGACAATTTCAACTACGGGATCAATAAGGGTAAGGCACGTAATTAGTTACACACAGGGTATGATAATCTAGCTATGTTTTCCACTGTGTCCTTCTGGTGTAGGCCTATCGCTCAATGTAACAGGTTAGGCTGACAAACGTGTGTGGGCATGATTTCAGTTGTCAGCTAACGTTAAGCTAACAGTTTTTTTCCATCATGCTGGACATTGTTACTCATCACAAATTTGTCAGCTAACGTTGTCACAACCTGTTATTAACCTAACCTGTTACACTGAGCGATAGGCCTACACTAGAAGGACACAGTGGAAAACATAGCTAGATTATCATACCCTGTGTGTAACTAATTACATGCCTTACCCTTATTGATCCCCTAGTTGAAATTGTCTAGGAGCAGGAGCACGAATGCAAAATACATCCATGAGCAGGAGTCACCATGGATGCAGGGGTCACTTGCAGGTGCCAGGTGGGAGCTTCTCGCGAGATTTTGAAGTATCTTGTCTCCTTGTTCAGGAAAAAAATTACCACGAAAAACAGAAAAAAATACTCAGAAAAATAGGGCTTTTTTATTTGTCAAGTGAATGCAATACGCTTCCGTTTCCGTACAACACTCCAAAAGAGAATCTGAAACTAATTTGATAAATGAATTATCAAAGTTTTAAATACATTTTAACAAAAAAACGAATTGTTTTAGGTGTTTGCAAGTCCTTTAAAAAATCTTAAAATGTCACAATTTCATTTTATAAATATTAGGCCTTAAAAGTCATTAAATAGATGTTTTTAAAAATGGTTAGTTTTAAGAAATAATTTTGCACACACAACCTTTGTTTTACAAAATATTTGCGGCCACGGTAGAATGCCAGTCGGACTCCAAATGCCCGCCAGTTCAGCAGTCTACCTAAAAGGTAGTAGAGCATGCAGGCTAACATTACCTTTCTCTAAACACCTACTGGAGGTCGCATCACCTCTGATTCCTGTTCAGTTTAAGGATGAAGGAGCTCACTCAAACATACCAGTGATGCTCTGGACGTGCTAATGTTTTCCTTCGACTCCTCATCGACATCAATCGCACTCTGGAGAGTGTCCCATCATCTGCTGGCTCAAACAAGCAGGAGAAACCTCAGCTTACTGTAGGATGCGTCAAAATGAGGGAGTGTCGTCAGCTGTTCTTCTTTCTTTCTTTAGAGTTAGCTGCTAACTGCTACAAGCTACTTTTTAAATCCCCCAGTTGGCTGCACACATTGTACGTCCGTCTGGGCTGATAGTATAAACGTTAATATCACACCAGGGGATAAATAATATAAGGTTTTATTGAAAGAAATCAGAGTTTTGTCTCTTTGTAGTCATGTGTTGCCTCTGCGGAGTGAAACCCTCCGACCTAATGTCAATAATTCAGCAGCTAAGAGAAGCGTCTTGTTTCCAGCCTGACGCTGATGAATTTTTGACATCATGTAATGGACTTTGAAAGAGGTTTCAAAAGGAAAAGTTTTGACCCCAACAACAGAACGAGGAGCATGTTAGTGTCTGTTCGGATCACTGCCGTATTCCGATGGAGGTCATCATCATCCTCATCAGCGAGGTGTAGGCGGATGCTGGCAGGATGCCGCTGTGACTCTTTGCAGTGTCGGGACGCAGTGTCATCACCTCCTCACCGAGCCCCAAGGCTCGAGGAGGAGCAATGATGGAGGTGTTAGTCATCCAGCGCTGACCTCCTTCTCCTCCCTCCTCTTCCTCTCGACTCCAGCCTCTCCCCCTCGTCTTCCTCTCTTTCTGCCCCAGGGAGAAGTCTCATCCCTGTTGTTGTTTTTTTTTTAGTTGTCTGTTATTCTTTCTGCGGTCTCGTCTCTTCTCACTGCTAATTTCTCCTGAACAAGTCTCGTTTAATATTTCATTGTTGGCTAATGTTTGTTTTTCAGCAGGTGAAACTCCCTTTAGTGAATATAATTCAGTTGCTAACATGCTAACACTTTAGCATCTTATATCCTAATCATTAGTGACTGGTGTCCTAAAAAGCTTCTCCGCTCAAATGTTTCAACAACTACGACTCAGATTTAAATCATATTTACTCTGGATGTTCCTGCTCACCGGAGGATGACATTTTAAGATCTCCAGACTGTTTCTATCACGTTACCATCAGGTCAAACCCCTCAACAATTTGTTCTCTCTCCGCAGGCCCTGAACGGCTTCGTCCTGGTGGTGACAGCTGAGGGAATCATCTTCTTCTGCTCTCACACCATCCAGGATTACCTCGGCTTCCATCAGGTAAAACCCTCCTGTTCATTTTCAGGTATCTTCTTCTCCTCAGCTCTTTGGATCACGCTGTGTGTCCACCTTTAGCTCAGCTTGTTTCATCGAGGTTGGAACGATAACATCCCCTGAAAACAGCACAGAGACCAAGAGAGGAAACAGGAAATGACCCTAATTGACAGACTTCCTTAACACTTAACAATAAATAGGCAGGTCCTTTTTAGGCTGTAGAGGCTTTTTACTGTTGAGAGGACAATGAGGCTCATGACAGGCCGACCCTGAGAGCAGCAAGTGAACGCATCGCCCCGAGTGCCCCGAGGATTGAAACAAATGCACATATGGAGCGAGAGCTTTAATCCAATTGGCTTCACAACGAAGCGCCGCTGCCTGCGTTCTAATCTCATTTTGTAGAATGTGATTATCAAATTACCCAAAGTCTGTCTGTCTGTCTGACACACACTTACACACACACACAATCTAACCGCAGACACACTGAGCACAGACGCACACCTTTCCCCCTTTCAAGCGCACGCACAGGTGTAAACATCACCTCTCACCCCTCATTTCCCCGTCCACCTGAGGCGCGTCACCATGCATTTACCGAACAGACCCAAATCTGTGTTGAAGCCGCTGTCTCTGCTCACGTCGAGTGTTTGGAAACAAAACACACTGGGTGTCAGCGGCTGTTGTAACACCCATAGAACAAGACACAGGTGAGGAAGAGGAAGGGAAAGGACAGCCAGACAAAGGAAAGACACAGATGATGCTGCTCCTACTGGGATGCTTTGTAGCTTATCCACTGTTAGCTTAACACAACCTTTGTTTTAACAGGCAGCCTGCATAAACCCCAACTACAATGAGAATATTAACTCCCCTTCTCATTCCTATGCTCAGAGGTATTTCACGCAACACTTCTGCCTGACAGAATTCCTCTCTGGTGACCTGTGTTTGACCCCTCCCACTCTGTGAGGGTGGTTCCACTCTGGTCGTCAGCCAGGTCACGCTGGGTCTGGACGGCAGATATCGGGGTCACGGCAGGTCTTTGGCTTTGTTTCAACTATTCAAATCAAGTGTTGAGCGACACTTGATTTCTTTTGGCTCCGCTTCAAGGCCAACAGAATCAAGTGAACCCTTCGGGGGACCTGCTGACAGTGACGGCTTCAACAAAACATCTGCCCTAACTTGTGTGTCGTCTCATTTTCATTTAAATTTATCAGACTGTGAATTGTGTTTCCCTATCAGACTGACGTGATGCACCAGAGTGTGTTTGAGCTGATCCACACTGAAGACCAGCAGGAGTTCAGGAGCAACCTGCACTGGGCCCTCAACCCCCCTGCAGGCCTCGGCCCCCCCACAGATCCCTCACCAGGTCTGTAAACTGGAGACAATTCAATTCACTGCTGTGCTTAGAATGGCTGAATAAACTTAGGCTACATCTGCACTAACATTTTTTTGTTTTAATATACACTTCATCCCCATGCTAACTGGTTAGCTAGATTTGCTAGCTAGCCTGTACTCAACAATGCGAATCTTAGGATAGCGAAGGAATGACCCACCTTACTCTGCTTCTGATTGGCTGAACTTGACAGTCTTACCCTAACCCATCTCACTCCTCTTGCCTAACCTAACCAATCCAACCAATGAAGGCAACAAGTACTAGACAATCATAGGGAGCGTAGGGAACAAGTACCAGACAATTATAGGGAGCGTAGGGAACAAGTACTAGACAATCAGAGGGAGCGTAGGGAACAAGTATTAGACAATCATAGGGAGCGTAGGCAACAAGTACTAGACAATCATAGGGAGCGTAGGGAACAAGTACTAGACAATCATAGGGAGCGTAGGGAACAAGTACTAGACAATCATAGGGAGTGTAGGGAACAAGTACTAGACAATCATACAGAGCGTAGGGAACAAGTACTAGACAATCATAGGGAGCGTAGGGAACAAGTACTAGACAATCATACAGAGCGTAGGGAACAAGTACTAGACAATCAGAGGGAGCGTAGGGAACAAGTAGTGGACAATCAGAGGGAGCGTAGGGAACAAGGACTAGACAATCATAGGGAGCGTAGGGAACAAGTAGTAGACAATCATAGAGAGCATAGGGAACAAGGACTAGGCAATCATAGGGAGCGTAGGGAACAAGGACTAGACAATCATAGGGAGTGTAGGGAACAAGTACTAGACAATCATAGGGAGCGTAGGGAACAAGGACTAGACAATCATACAGAGCGTAGGGAACAAGTAGTAGACAATCATAGAGAGCATAGGGAACAAGGACTAGACAATCATAGGGAGCGTAGGGAACAAGGACTAGACAATCATAGGGAGCGTAGGGAACAAGGACTAGGCAATCAGAGGGAGCGTAGGGAACAAGGACTAGGCAATCATAGGGAGCGTAGGGAACAAGGACTAGACAATCAGAGGGAGTGTAGGGAACAAGTACTAGACAATCATAGGGAGCGTAGAGAACAAGTACTAGACAATCATAGGGAGTGTAGGGAACAAGTACTAGACAATCATAGGGAGCGTAGGGAACAAGTACTAGACAATCATTGGGAGCGTAGGGAACAAGTACTAGACAATCATAGGGAGCGTAGGGAACAAGTACTAGACAATCATAGGGAGCGTAGGGAACAAGTACTAGACAATCATAGGGAGCGTAGGGAACAAGTACTAGACAATCATAGGGAGCGTAGGGAACAAGTACTAGACAATCATAGGGAGCGTAGGGTGGGTCTTTCTGTCATTATCTACTAGAGCAGAAGAGTGAGAAGGAAGTAGTAGTCAAACAAAAGAACTGACCACATTGTCAACACCACCGAAGTTGGTACATTCATGCAGGCTCAGGCTCACTTAGCTGCCATTTTGTAGCAAAACAAAAGAAGAAGAAATCAAACAACATGGCCGACATCAGCAAATTGACTCAACTGGCAACACAAAACTGTCTGTAACTGTCTGTCCCCAAGGGTCCTTGTATCTGTACTGCGTTACAGGTGTCATGGCGAGTATAAAAAGCATAAACGTTAATAGTTGTTATTTATTGTCCTCAGATGGCGAGTCGGTGTCAACCTCTTCCTGCCTGGTGAGCTACAACCCCGACCAGCTCCCACCTGAAAACTCGTCCTTCCTGGAGAGAGGCTTCGTCTGCCGCTTCCGCTGTTTGTTGGATAACTCCTCCGGCTTCCTGGTAAGACTGATCAACAGATACTCACACATTAGATAGGAAGAAACAAAGGCTTTGAAATATGTCCTTAAAAGTGGCTTAGATGAACCTGTTTGAGTGATTCAGAGATATAGTTACTGATAGGCTGTTTCCCAGCCAATAAAGTGATAATAATGAGTCTATATTTGAGGCCTGTGGTGTTTTCAGGCCCGTCGGTGCTGATGGCAGTATGGCGTGCCACCTCAGAGTCCCTCAGGGATCAGAAGCCACCATTTACTCCTGTAATCCGCCTTAAGAGAGCCTCGGGGTCGTGGGGAAAAGGGCCTTAATCCTCCCACCGCCCACAGGAGACGAGAGCACAGGGGCGACTTGCTTAGTCAGGGTTGGTAGCTCCAGACCAGCCACTGCTACTTCCACTTAAGACAATTAGCTGCAGATGGAGAAGAACACCCTGCAGCTCAGTGGCAGCGAAAATCCCTTAAAGCTGCTGGGAAAACAGGGGCAGGGGCTCCCATGAGCAAGGCACTTCGGCAGCTTTTCAGTGCTGAATCGATGAGGTGATGGACAGAAAATGAATCATTTATCAAGCAAAATATAAAAACGCTAAACACATGAATGCACAACACTGAGGTTAGGTTCACTTCTGTATAGCTTTGTCGCCTGAAAGCTCAACTCAAGGCTTCATCGTCTTGCTCAAGGAAACTCGGGTTTGAACCCACGTCTCTCTCCGTCCTCCCTCCCAGTGTGTTTGCGTGAGCATTAAGCCAGGTCTCTGCTTCTGTCTGCTGCTCGCTATGGCTTTGTTTTTTGTAATCCCTCCTGCTATTCAGGGCTAGATTCCTGACATCACGGCTGCAGGCCCTTAAACCCACCAAGGTCAATTAACCAGAGCTAACAGAGGAGGTGGGGGTCCTCACACGAGACGCCACAGGGTGAGCAGAGGACAGCAGACAGGAGAAAGTGTTTGCAGGGTTTTTTTCTTGGAGGTCTCTGTAAGGAAACCTTCTTAGTGTAGGTTGTATTTTCAGGAATACTTTCACCATCAGACACATTTAGATGAGCAGAAACACTTTCTCGCGTATAACATCTCGTCATTAAGCTGTGTTGTTCGCAGTGAGACCTATGGTTTGTCTAGAAAGAGTCCTGTGAGTCTGAGCTGGATGAAGAACAGTCATGCATGAAGTCTCAGTCACTTAAACATAGTTCTTAACCAGCGTACAGTGAGTCATGTGACCAGAGAGCAGCTGGAGGGTTTCCAGAGACACCAGTGGGCACGGTGTGTTTACAGTGTACTGAAGTTGTCCTGCTCCGCACATTACCCAGCAGGATAAATAAGACTGATGTTGCTCGACAGGGAGAAAAGGAAACAGCACTCACTCCTCTGCCGCGGGACCTGACGCCGTCGTCTCCGAGGGAAAAGATCAAGAACCAGGAAATAGACTCACAGCTTTCTGTGTTCGTCTTATTTGTGATCTCAGGCGCTGAACATCCAGGGGCGGCTCAAGTTCCTCCACGGTCAGAGCCGGCAGCAGTGCGACAGCGAGGGGAGCACCCCGCCTCAGCTCGCCCTGTTCGCCATCGCCACGCCCCTACAGCCTCCGGCCATCTTGGAAATCAGGACCAGGAACATGATCTTCAGGACCAAACACAAGCTGGACTTCACACCCATGGCCTGCGACGCAAAGTATGCTCTCAAACACTTATGTGTTTAATTCAAAGTGTTTCCAGTTACTGAGTGTGTCTGTGCTCGTTTCCTGGATTTTCAGGGGTAAAATTGTTCTGGGCTACACCGAGGCGGAGCTGAGAGTTCGAGGTTCGGGTTACCAGTTCATCCACGCTGCCGACATGCTGTACTGCGCCGAGAATCATGTCCGAAGTAAGTCACAGCTGTTTGCTTTCTGTACGACTTATATCACAGTTCGTCAAAGCACGGCTGAGACTGGAGAGCTACTGGAGTTAGAATGTGGAGGAAGTGAAAAGGTCACACAGATCTCTAAAACAAGCTCCGCGAAGGTGCTGTTGGGCAAGGCAGCAAAGATTCAGCTTTATTATAAACACTTGCACCTGTTTAGACTGTTAAGAGTGATGTAATGAGATCAAGAGCTTGTGTACGTTGACCTCTGGCTCATGCTTGGCTCAACACTACATTAATAACACATGCAACAAACAAACAAACAAACGCTCTGTGCGCGTCTGCCGATGATGGGGGAAATCTCCAAGCGAGAGTCAAGTGTCCTACTTACCTCGTGTACCGGATGACCCGGTTAGTCGTAACCATGGCGCCCTCGACGCGCTGCTACCAGACACGCTCGCTCACAAAGACACACACTGTATGCATGTAGTCATGCATACGGAAAGGGAAACACATGCATATGCATTTGGAAACATACAGCACAGAGACACATACATGCTCTGATGCACGCACAGATGGGAGGGCAGGTTTCCATACAGCACAGCAGAACCAGGACGCTGCTGGACCAGTTGGAGACGTTTCCTCCTGTAATCGGTTTGGTTCTGCTGAGAGACCGTTTGATAAAGCATCATTTCAGGTCACAGAGCTACAGTGTTTCTCCTCCGTCAGGACGAGGACAAGAGTTTGTCCACAGACATGAATATTGCAGTTCCCTCTAAAGGTCAGCGGCTTCTGGCTTTTACTGCTAAAAATATGCAGCGATGACTGAAACTCTGCAGATCCTAAAAACAACATGATGTTCCTGTATTTTACTCAGGATCCTCTGTATACATTTGCTTAGAAACGAGACGGCACAGAAACATGACTTGAACCACAATTACACACACCGACAGACACAAGACTGAGCAGTGGAGATGAGGGACCGCAGGTAGAAGGATGTGTGTGTGTGAGTGGGTCTTTTTAAGTGTGTGCAAACAAGACTTGTAACATGTGCATGTAGCCAAAGTGAACATCAGCATGTAGCCTCCATCGCAGCGGCACGCCCGACTGAGCAAATGCAGTGTGAGTGTGTGCACACTGCGGTGTGTACAGAGCGTAAACAGCAGTGACACGGAGCCTCTGATGTCTCGTCTGATGTGATTCCAGTGATAAAGACGGGCGAGAGCGGCCTCACCGTCTTCAGGCTGCTCACGAAGGACAACCGGTGGAAGTGGGTCCAGGCCAACGCCAGGCTCGTCTACAAGAACGGCAAGCCGGACTACATCATCGCCACCCAGAGGCCCTTGGTGTAAGCGCACGAGCGTTCCAGCTTGATTTTAGAGTCTTAGCTGATTCATCTGTTAATTTCTGCTCTGTAAAATGTTTCCTCACAGGGACGAGGAAGGAGGGGAGCACCTGAGGAAGAGATCGATGCACCTTCCCTTCACCTTCGCCACAGGAGAGGCGATGCTCTACCAGACCGGTTACCCGCTGCACGGCTTCCCCGATTCCTTCCAGGGCAAGTCCAAAGGCAGCAAGTCCAAGAAAGGCAAACTGGACAAGAGCTCCTCAGACGACCTGGACCCAAAGTCGCTGCTGGGAGCGCTGATGAGCCAGGATGAGTCCGTGTACGTCTGCCAGCCAGACACGGAGCCTAAGATGTCGTACCACAGCAGCCTTTTTAGCGAGCAGCAAGGTGATGGTGACGGTTTTGGTGGTTTGTTAGGCGGTGACAGCTGGCAGATCCCGTCTAACGGGGACACAGAGAGATGCAACAGCAAAGCATCAAGTTACGACCCACTGCTGGCCACTTTGGACTCCCTGTCTCTGGACGGAGACGAGACGTGCTCCAACAGCGAGCTCTTTAGCGCCCTGGAGAATCTCGGCTTGAACGCCGAGGACCTGGAGCTGCTGCTGCTGGACGAGAGGATGATCCAGGTGGAGCTGGGCCCCAACCACATCCCGACGCTTAACGACCTTCTCACCAATAACGAAATCCTCTCTTACATCCACGACTCGCTGGAGAGCGCGACAGAAGGAGGGGAGAGAGGTGGATTTGGACCGCAGAACACAGACTCTGCCCAAAGCGTCTCCCAGCAGCCACAGACGTGCCCCCCACCCGCTGTCCCTCCACCTCTCCCCATCACCCAGCTGTCACAACAGATGCAGCAACACATCAGTGCAGGTGAGCTGGCGAAAACTCAGCCTGTCATTCAGTCTGTCTCCCAACCTGCGGACACCAAGGTTTTAACTAACGGTCACTGGGTGGTGACGACAGGGAACCACCATCACCCCAACAACCACACCCACCATCACCCACATACTGTGCTCAAAGCCTCACAGCTGAACGGTGAACATAAACACCTTAACGCGCTCCTGGAGTCCAGTCAGCAGTGGCAGCTACAGCAGGACCAGCACCCGCTCCATCTCCAGTCCCATCAGCAGCTCAGCAGCCAGAGCGCTCCGCCGCCCGCCTTCCAGAGTCAGCTCGGACTTACCACTAACGGATCTTACATCCCAAATGGACACGCAGCCTTTCCACCCAATGTGGAGGTCGGCCACGCAGGCTACAACCTCTCCAACGCACCGCACGCAGGTGCTGCTGCACTGAACGGCTTGACCACACCGGACGTCTGTCACTACCAGAGTCGGCCGTACCAGCTGCACCAGAAACACCAGCAGCAGGTGCCACCATCCTGTTTGCCCCAGAGCTCTGCACTGGAGTTGGAGCAGTTACTGGGTCTGTCGCAGCCACAGCACAGCCTGCCGTCGTTAGAGGCTTACAGCATGTTCAACACCACCACACAGGAACCCTCTCACAGCAAGGTACGACGCCAGGAAGGGTCACTTTTCATTCAAGAAATATGGATCAGAGTAAGAAGCTTGTTGAGTGAAATACAATTTCAGGGCCTCAGGCCTTCTGTCAATCAATATGCGAATTTCTAAATGTTGACGTCGTGGAGTTAAACCCAGGACAGCCTTTATTATCCTGCAGTAAGTCTCATTAAACACAGAAGTTGGAGGGTAATTTGCTTTTTATATGCCATCCCAGCATCATACTAGCACGTCCATTAGAAGGTGAGTCACGCTTTCCCTTCCTTCAGCCGTCATCCCGACTCCCACTAAGACCTTCTGTCTTGTGTCAAGCCCGCTCTGTCTTCCTCTTCTCCTTCTTACCATCTTAAAAACGACTCCCGCTGCCAGCTCTCCTCAACGCTGTTTGTTCTGCAAGCCAAACTCTTGATCGTGGCCCACTGACGAGGCCCCGAGTCTGCGTCGCCCTCAAACATCAGAGAACATCAACAAACCGAGGGCTGCAGAATCCACGAGACTTCAACCCCTGCGCTGTTCTCTTTCACTGTCATGAAAATGGATTTTTTTTCCGAGTCAGCACACAGAGGCCTCGGGCTGGCATGGAGCTCAGTGTAAACTGTGATGATGCGACCAGACATGCCATGTAAATAAGACGAGGGGGAGACGGGTCAGAGCAGCACAGTCTGAGAATAGACTGTCGCAGTAGAGTCTGCGCGAGTTAAGGGTCGTTCAGGAGGTTTTATTTCGGCTGTTTCTGCAGTTAATTAGTATTTGTAATGTAGGCTGTAATGTATCAGCATCAAACACACAAGATATACTTTAATTTCCTTGTTGAATTTTGATAGTTGTTCAACCACATTCATCCAGTGCTCGAGTCATTTTTCATAAAGTAATATGACAAAACTTGAATAGAGCAGACCTCATCAAATAGAAGATAATGCGTGAAGATAAGTGATGGCGTCCTGAGCAGAGAATGAAGTCATGTTTCCTCTGTGTGTTGTTGTGGTGAGCTGGTCTGGCCATGCATGTACGTTCGGTGTGGCTTTTAAATGCCTGCGTATCATTCTGAGTCTCCTCTCTACATTCAGAGGATTTTGCAGGTCTGTGAACGCAGCACAGGCAGAGCTCTCTCTGAATTCTCTGACTCACAGGGTGGATAATTGATGTGTTGATCCATTCAGAGCTGATCAGATCAGAGAGGAGCAGCTGCTGCGAGTGAAAGCAAACTTTTAGATCCAGTAGAATAAATGGTGAAGTTTCATGAGCCCTTTTTAGATAGGAAGTGTGCAAATTTGCAGGAAAGCCCAATCAGTCTTTTTTCAGCATTGGCAGTATAAAAACAAAATCGGGGAGTGCAGCAAAATGCCGCCTGCCTACTTTTGTTTATACAGAATGCGCCTTTTTCGGGGCAATGGGGGGCGTGAGCAAGTAACAAAACGTGTAGCTCAGCGTGTGACGTAAACAGTAACGTGGGAGGGAAGCCGCGGCTGGTCAGTCCTTCGGTGATTCTCTCATAAGTCGGCCTGTTCTTCACCGTCCCCGTCATCTGGCGGTTAACGGCCTCTTCGTTTGCGAGGGCAAGGATGGTGCGCAATTCTTTGTCTCCCCAGTCTCCCTCCCGTTGCAGAAGGCCGCCTCGGTCTGTTTAAACTAAAAGGGTTCCACCAATATGTCTACCCTACGAGGCGGAAAATTGGGCACCTCGGATCAACTCGCCAATCCGGCTCTGTGTGTCTAAATGCTCGCAACTTGCCAGCAAAACGGCCCAACATTCGCCAAAAATCTGGCAGTGTAAAAGGGGCTACAGTTAGTGCGCCCGATGTTCTGCTGCTCCATCCAAACGGTATAGATATTTCAGTAATGCTCCTGATGAACAGTCCAGCTCCGAACGTAGAAAACACCATCTTGACTTTGGGAATTTGTGATGGGTTTAACACTTTTTGATTTTTCATGACCCAATGAAATGCTCATTCCCATAAAATAATCTGTAGATTAATAACTACAGATAATAATTGTAGCTGGAGTCTTAATAAAATGTCAGCTACATTAAAAAGAACATTTAAGAACTGTATAAGCTGTGCTGTATAAGTAGTTTCAGATTTAATTGCAGGGATCTTGAAGCACAGTCAGACTCACCACAGCCAACATAAACTCAGATCCCAAAAACATTATTCGGGTCAGTTAATGAGACTGTATAATGTTCAGGGGAAGCAGGAATTTGTCTTAAAAGTCCAACAGAAACTTTTCCCAGTAATGACAGAGCAGCGAGGGCTGGGCAATGTCATCCGAAAACACGCGCGTAGCTGGAGGTCCGGAGAAATTCCCATCATAAAACATAACGAGGTAATGGGACCTCGCCAATCAGTGCTGCCAAATTTAAGCAGGATTGAAACCAGGAATGTCTCCGCAGCACAAATGGCACCTCTGGTTTATTTTTCTGCGTCTGCAGAACAAGTGTGTATTGTTACCTCAGCTGGGGCTCGGAGAAAGGCCGGTCAGCCTGCTGGTTAAACAAGCGAGATAAAAACCTGGCATAATGAAGCTGAAGTGGTGTAAGGTCTGCTGTAGTTTGAAGCTCACCTTGGCTTTGTCAGGAACGCAGGAACCCCCTCGTCCATTACGTCACATCGTCACTATATTTAATGAGTTGTGTACGTGTGAAAGGTTATCGAGGATCAGATGGTTGTTCCACAGCGGGGTAACAAAGGAGGTATAATGAAACATGAGAGAGCGGGCCGTGGAGAGGAAACGAGGAGCAAAGAGGCAGTAGTGAGAAAAAGAGAGTACAATAATGAATAGAATAAGGTCGGCCCCAGAGATGGTTGACCCCGGCAGGCATCCATTCATCCCCGCCCCATTCAGCCTCCACTGTTATTCTTCAGGGTCAGTGGCTGTCGCTGAAAGAAAAATACTGGCAGGCTGGCCAGTCAAGCATGAGCAGTGCTGACCTACAATTTGACTGTCATCATTATCTAATGCTGTGAACGCAGGGCGGAGGGGGAGGCAGCCGATGTGCGCAGACTATTCTCAGCTCAGAGAGAGGAGAGCAGGGCTCCACTGGAATTTGCTTTACTCTCATTTTACAGACCGAAGGGACTAGAAAAGTGCAGCACAGCAGGAGGGAAATGTCTCCAAAAATTTAACTATATTTTATCTCCAAGTGCACGACACACACTGAGCGAGCTGCCTGTTAATGACGCTGTGGGCTAATGGGCATGTAGCTACTTCCATGTTTCAGATGATACGTCATGTTTGTAGTCGACCAATGAAAACTGACGCGCGGCCACTTCCTGTGTCTATCCTTTCAAATTAAGGCCCAATCCCAATACCCCCTCTTGCCCACTCCCCCTTGGCCCTCGAAATGAAGCAACGAGAGGTAGGGGTGGAAATCTTTCCCTAGGAAGTGGGACACCACTCACTACGTCACCACATCGGTTACGTTCACGCATACGTAACCGTTTTAAACAGGAAGGTGCGAGCCATCTACATTTCCAACCGGCATCTACAATGGAGTCTAAGTCATCCTGCTTCGTTTGATGAACGACAGACGACGAAATTATATGTACGACAGGGGACTTCTGCTAGCTAGCTAGCTGCTAACTAGTTAACATTACGAGGCAGCATAGTTATACTAGCTGCCGTGTTATCGTCATTTGAAAAATCCGACAATTTTGCATAACAGGACAGATGACAGACACCAGACAGTGTGAGCTAGCTAGCTAGCTAACAAGCAACCTGATGACAGTGACGTTAGCTAGCTGGCTAGCTTTCTGTCAGCTCCAATATAGACATTGTGAATAGCAATAATAAATTGTTATACCGTTCTCTACACAAATACACAGTTATTCGAAAACGTTTTTACAAAAGTTCCATGTTTATTTGTGAAATTATACGTACATGTATGAACTTTTTTCCCAGTCTCTTGCTCGGTGGTAGCCATGGCGACATTTACCCCTCGCTGGCAAGTCAGCATCTGAAATCCCTCGCTCCGAAGGGCTAGTTTCATACCCACTACCCCTCGTTATGCCCCCGTACCCGTACATGCAAAAAGGAATTGGGACACCCCATCCCTCGTGAGAACACGCAAATCTAGGGGTAGGGTAGCTGTGTTGTTAGCTGCTAACGAAGGTTGCCTTATGATGCATTCAAGCTCTTGTCAGTAAAAATGAGTAGGTAAATTATTGAAATAGATATTAGAGAGGGATTTATCGTATGTAATAAAAAGGCGTCTGAAGCAAAAAAGAGGTGTTTTTCATGTGAAAGGTTGTATTTTATTAAAGGTTGTTTCACAGATGTGTATGACAATAATTGATGCTCATTCAATGTCTTACAATGAAGATTTCTGTTTCACTGGCACAAAAATTATAAATAGCATATTAACAACAACAACAAAACATTAGCATCCCAACCATAAACTGTATAAAAATATCGTCAACATAAAAACAATAACGTTACCCGCTGGTTTGTGGACCTGAGCCCCATGTTTGGCGACCATATTTGAACGACAGATTGGACTGTGGTGGAGCGAGCGGTGCATCTGACTGTCACTTAAAGCTGCAGCACCCTTGATTATTCGTACCTTTAAGCCTTAGTAAAATATAAACGGGAGAGTTATATAAACAGTCAGCCCCCGTACAGTTGTCATAAATGTTTAAATTAGCTTTAGAGACCAAAACTGCTTTTGTACCAGACTGTAAACATGTTTATTGCAGCTGTAAAGTTGGACATGTTAACATGAAGGTCTATGGGGATTGACTCACTCTTGGAGCCAGCCTCTAGTGGCCATTAGAGGAACTGCAGTTTTTGGTACTTTGGCATCGGTTTCATTGTTTTGGTTGGTTTTTTAAAGACTTTTTTAACCTTCCAAAGGAAAATTCCCAACCACATATTTAAAAATGACCTTGTCTGAATGTGTTCAAGTATCATTAATTTCATGAGCAAAACAGCTAAAACAACAGCAGGAAAGCAGAAACTCGGGTTGCTGTGACACCTGAACTCCTTCAGCGCTCACTAAACTGTTAAGGATTACAGTCACTGTGACTTACACATCACAGCAGCTACAGACTGCAGGGTGTTGTCTCTTCATGCCTCCTCTAATGTCCGTCCGTCCTTCCCTCCGTCACTCCTCCTCCTTGTGTCAGGGCGTCTCTCAGGACTCCAGGGCTGCCCGCTCAACAGTGCTAACTGCCTGACCTGCTTCTGTGGTCGAGGTCAACGTGACTCCATTACTACTGTACACAGAAAACACAGCTGATGTCTTGTGATATATTCAACTTAAATTAATAAAAAGATAAATGTGTTGTTTTCACAAGCGGCTGCTAAAATGTCATTGTTGTTTTGCAGCTGGAGAACGGCTGCCTCCTCAGTGCCACCAACACAGCGTACATCAGGACGTGTCTGATGCCTAATGGAAACGGAGTGGCGACAGGCGATATCCCCGATGGACTCCCCGCCCTGCAGGACCCCCAGAAATCTGGATTTTTCCTCTGAAAGGATGACGGCAGAGTGTCAGAGGAGAAGAGAAGGTAGAGAAGAGGCTCAGAAAGGACTTTGCACTCGTGCTACTCTGAGAACCAACCAGGAAAGACGTTTTATATCTGTCACGCATTTTAGTGTTGCTAGCTGTGCGCTCACTGAACGTTTCATTTTCATGTTTGGATAAGATTTGTGCTCTTTGTTGCCAGTCAGGTGTTTCCAGGTTGCTGGAGCATGAGCCTGACAGGAGCGTCACTCTCTGACCTGTATATACACCGGAGAAACACTCAGCGAGGCCGCTCACTTCATTAAACCAGGCTCTTTTTATCTGGTGCTCAGATAAGTTAAAAAAGAACGAGGAGTTCCTGTTTCGCTGGATCACTAAAACTGTTTAACAGAGATAAACTCAGCTCAGACAATCAGTACGTTAGCTAAGGATGCACGATTAGAGGACAATTTGTGCTAACGTTAAATATTGCGATGACAGTATTACTCGTGATGAATAAACAGATGTTAAAGTGTACTCTGCCAATACAAAGGAATAATAGTTACAGTTTAAAGTGCAGTTGCTGCTCTAAAACTCTCTTTCAACCGACTCCAAAAATGCCAGATTGAAATAACGCACTTATAATGACGATAATAAAAACAGTATCGTGTGCAGCCCCAGTTTTAGCACCATATAATGTTGGAGCTGGGTTATTTAAAGTGCTGTCTACATATATACAGATATTTTTCTACGTTTTGGGCTCTTGTCCGCACACAAACACACTTGTCTTGTGTTGGTTGAACACTCAACGAAGGTCCAGAAGGATCGAAACATTGGTGTCACTAGTAAATTGTGAAGCTGAAGCTGCGTCTGAGACAGGTGGATGTGCTGATACCTTTCTTCAAACCGAGAGTGGGATTGTTGTCAATGAAGGCTTTGCTTTGGCTTTGAGTGAGCTCCTTTGTCCTCACATCGAAGGGGAATAAACCGTCATGAAATGTACAGTTGAAGTTTTTAGCTTCTACACTTCACTACCTTTGCGACGAGGGGAGAATGTGGGAGTCATTTTTGCATTCTCGTGTGTACGGCTATGTTTTGTACATCAAAAGTTGTGTGGACAAAAGGCGAAAAAATCAGTTTAAAAAATATCTGTATCCATGTAGACAGGGCCTTAATTGTCTCGCCTTCGTAATGTGCGTCCTTCACATCACTGCTGACCATTTCCTAAAGCGTACTGTGCGTTTTAAGATTCCTACTAAGCAAGTAAATAAAGCTGCATAAGATTGACAAGCTCCAGCATCTAAAAAGTTAGATTGTAATTGCTAAACCAACGACTGCCTGCAAACTAAGGAATATTCCACCTTAAAGCTCCAGTGGGTAAGATTAAGGGGGCTATATCTGCAGAAACTGAATATAATATAATAAGTATGTTTTCTTTAGTGTATAATCACCTGAAAATAAGAATTGTTGTGTATTCGTTAGCTTGAAATGAGCTGTTTATATCTACATAGGAAGCAGGTCTTTGCTTATGTGGATTGCCATGTTTCTTTCTACAGTAGCCCAGAACGGACAAACCAAACACTGGCTCCAGATAAGGCCACTCACGTTTTTGTGTAGGGCCCCGACCCCTAGATTTGCGCGTTCCCACGAGGGTTAGGGGTGTCCCAATTCCTTTTTGCGTGTAGGGGGCATAACGAGGGGTAGTGGGTATGAAACTAGCCCTTTGGAGCGAGAGATGCTGACTTGCCAGCAAGGGGTAGACGTTGCCATGGCTACCACCGAGCAAGAGACGGAGAAAAAAGTTCATACATGGCTAACGTTACCATCGTCAGGTTGCTTGTTAGCTAGCTAGCACTATCTGGCATTTGTCATCTGTCCTGTTCTGCAAAATTGTTGGATTTTTCACATTACGATAACACACCAGCTAGTATAACTATGCTGCCTCGTAATGTTAGCTGGTTAGCTAGCGAGCTAGCTAGCAGAAGTCCCCTGTCGTACATATCTTATTACTCTAATGGTATGTTAGTAGCGAGCATAATAGTAGCTAACATTACTTTTACGTTGTAGATGCCGGTTGGAAATGTAGATGGCTCGCGGCTTCCTGTTTAGAAAAGTTACGTATGCGTGAACGTAACCGACGCGGTGACGTAGTGAGTGGTGTCCCAATTCCTAGGGAAAGATTTCATATTTCGTAGGATCCACACTAAAAATGTACGTACGGACAAAAGCCAAAAATATTGTGCGCCAAAAAAATATTCAACAATTCCTACAATCAAGCTTCCATCTGTGTCGCCAATGTCTTGTCTCCAGAATGTTTGTAAACGTGGGTCAAGTCTGTTTTTATAGATCACAACTTTTGCTTGGGAAGTGACGTACGCCTCTTTCAGGCCTCGTTTGTTTGTACGCAATGTCAATAAGGTTTTAGCTGCTCGCAATCTATAAATCCGTCTAAATCTTACACAGTTGTCCGTTAAAAAAACGATGGTATGCTTTTATAAAATGGTCTGCAGTGATATGTAAAGACTTGATTTGCAGCTAACGGGCTGCAATGAAGCCTCCAGTGGAGATTTTATAACGTCTCTGCAGTGTTTAGATTGAGAACATTCGTGTGTGATGAAATAACAGTCACAAACTTTGTACAATAACAAGCTGCTTTCACTGGTGTGTGCGCGCACCATTCAACATGTCTGCTGGTAACCTGCTTGTGTTTCCTCATACAGGAATGTTAATCATGTGGAGAGGGAATGTTAAAGACATTCAGACAAACAGCCACGAGATTCGGACCGAACACACCAACAGATTATTTAGACGTCAGTGTTTGTAGTTGTAGCCGACCTGTAGGGTTCGTAGATGTCGTTCGTCCTGGTGCTTTAAATGTCGACAAAACAGCATTTCATTCTTATATAGTTGAGATGAGATTCAAACAGGTGGCGAAGGGTTGAAATCAGAAAGTTTTTATTTATTGCCGTAGAGAAACCATGTTGCGTCCGTGGCTGCGGCGTCACCGCGTTTATCCTAATGCTGCATTCTAGCCTATTTGAGGTTTACAATGATGTTGTGCACTTACATGTATATTAGCGGCAGAATCAGAGGATCTGATTTTTCCGTCAGTGGCACTGAACTCAAACCTAAAAAAAAGCATTTTTGTTTCCTGACCGGAGACAGTGTGAAAATCTCCCATTAATGCCTTGTCTCGGCGGCCTCGGGCCAGTCAGACTCCCGCTTACTTTCTCCTGCAGTCGTGTCGCGTGGGAAACGCTGAGTGCACTCACATGCACACAGTAATCCATTAAGGACCTAATTGTAAATAATAGATTACAACTGAAGGCCGAAGAGGAAGTGCATGGACGTATTTCTGGAGTTTTTGTTTTCCTGTGGTCACAAATGATTGAGAGAATATATGCACTTACTAAAATGTAGGAAACAGTCTCTTCTTTTTTTAACTTTCATCTCTGGTGATTATGTTCATGTGTGGAAACCATTTTAAAGTGAAGATCAGAGGCAAAGTGGAAGTGCTCCCTGATCTGTAGCGTCAGCTGGAGACTCAAACCAAACCATGCTAGCCAGGCCAGGCTAAACAGAGCTAACAGACGGACACAAGCTCAGACAGAGAGTTGTGTCCTTCCTTTGCAGTGTAGACTTTCCCTACAGGACTGGGAAATGCTCACATACAGAGATGATGTGTTTCAACTTCTGTTAAAGGGTAAGTTTGGTATTTTTCTACCTCTATTTTCCAATGTGACGAATGGGAACAGCAGTTTTTGAAATTGGTCCATTACAGGCTGCAATATAACCACTCTGAGCATGTTTGCACCGTCAATGTACGTCCACTACACACACTTGTTATTCTAAGTGTCTGACATCTAGAGCTGTCCCAAACAATTATTTTTCTAACGATTAATCTAGCGATTATTTTTTCGATTAATCGACTAATCTAACAATTCATTTTTCAATTAGTTTAACGATTTTTTTTTCCAATTATTGATTATTTTTCCATTATTTGATTAATGAGGCAATTTAAACAATATTAATTCCAAAACATTTCTTATTAACATTAACATTTATTGAAACATCAGTGTTTCCCCTACCATTACATTAGCCCGCCCCCCCTTGAAGGTCAAGTTAATTTTATTTAATTTTATATTCTATGTAAATACGTTGACTTTAGTAATTCGCGTCAACGTATTTACGTAGTCGATGATGTTGGCGCTAATAATTCACGTCGACGTATTTACGTGGTCGATGACGTCAACGCTAATAATTCACGTCGACATGTTTACGTAGTTGATGATGTCGATGCTAATAATTCGCGTCGACGTATTTACGTAGTCGATAACGTCAACGCTAATAATTCACGTCGACGTATTTACAGAGTCGATGACGTCGACGCTAATAATTTGTGTCGACATATTTACATAGTCGATGACGTCAACGCTAATAATTCACGTCGATGTACTTACGTAGTCGATGACGTCGACACTAATAATTCACGTCGACGTATTTACGTGGTCGATGACGTCAACGCTAATAATTCACGTCGACGTGTTTACGTAGTTGATGATGTTGATGCTAATAATTCGCGTCGACGTATTTACGTAGTCAATAACGTCAACGCTAATAATTCACGTCGACGTATTTACAGAATCGATGACGTCGACGCTAATAATTTGTGTCGACGTATTTACATAGTCAATGACATCAATGCTAATAATTCACGTCGACGTACTTATGTAGTCGATGACATCGACGCTAATAATTCACGTCAAAGTATTTACGTAGTCGATCACGTCGACGCTAATAATTCACGTCAAAGTATTTATGTAGTCGGTGTCGTCGACGCTAATAATTCGCATCAACGTATTTATGTAGTCGATGACGTCGACGCTAATAATTCATGTCGAAGTATTTATGTAGTCGATGACGTCAACGCTAATAATTCTAATAGTACTAGCCCCTACCCCTTGACAGACTTTGCTACGTTTCGCAACCTCTCTTACCTTTTTCAGTCAAATAAGTGTCAAAAAAGGTTAAATATTTAAACCTGTTTTCTTTATCGAACACAGAAACACAAACGTACACCTTCCTAATATGAGTTTCTCTCTTTCACCAAACTAAGACTGAAGTTAGCTCAATTTTCTGTTAGCTTATCGTAAAACACACTTTATTCAAACTCAAATCCATCGTAGTTATTCTTGTTAGCCATCTACGTAGTTCGTCATTTCATAATGTTGTCAGAGACTTAGAATAACAGTCTGAGCCTGTCAGTGACAAAAACAAACTTTCAGTGGACGTAAATTGACGGTGCGAACATGTTCGGAGTGGTTATATTGCAGCCTGTTTTGTCTCTATTATTACTCATGGGACAACAGGGAGCAGGTTGAAAAATCCCGAACTTACCCTTTAACCCGCAACATGTAGGGTCTGAAAGTGTCCTACTTCAGTCGTAGCATCAAACCAGACACTGTAACAAACACCACTGCACACGCTGAGACTTTATTCAGCTGTCCTGAGGACAGTTTAGTGTCTTTGTTGTCTTTGTTTTTGTTTGAATGTCACACAGTCAAACTCGTCACCAGACTTCCTCTAAACAGTAAAACAAAACTGGATTCCCTCTTGAGTCGTCACCTGGACGCGAAAGCTCGTGCTGCGTTCACGTCACGTCAGATAAGCTGTGAATAACAAGCAGCTTCTTTACTGGAGATTATGTTGAAGAAAATGATTTAATGTCTGAATATCAAGAGCTGTGATTTCTAAGGACTTTTTAATTTAGTGTAAAATCAAAATAATCAGGTCTGACGTGACGTGAACGCAGCATCACTCACTTCTTAAAGGCGTAAAAACGACAGGCTGGACAGCATTTAGCATTTAGCACCGCCTCCAAAACCAATGAGAAACACGTGAACACACGTGTCTGCAGTCGCTCCATCGTTGAATGTCTTGTGTAAACCGTAACGGAAAAACATGAAGCTTTTATTTCACTACAAAAAAGGTGCTTCAAAGTGCTCTGTGGATTTCAGTAGTGTTAGCTGATGACGAACGTCACAACGACAAAATGCATTTACAGATTTTTGCCTCTTTTTGTTTTTGTAAACTGACTTTTGGTATAAAACAGAATATTTAAACCAGTTGTGAGATCAAATGCTGTATGAAAGATTATAAAATGGCAACCATATTCCAAGGCGCTTTAAAAACATTAAAAAAAAAGGTTGTGTGTATATAACTGTGTTTTTTATGGCGTTGTTGCAAGCACTACTTTACAATCACTGCTCTTACAAACTCTTTCTCCAGCACTGAAAGTAGTCTTGTAGAAGAAAAGCATTTTATGACTCCATGTTGTGTGAATATTGTTCCCAAGAGTCGTGTTTTATCTTTGTGTCATGTTCATCACTTGAGCTCAAAACAAAAACGGTGCCATAACGGTAAGATGTCCATCGTCCGAACACTTGAGCTACATTTTACATGAACGTCTTTTTTTAATCCACTTTGTCCACCAGTGTTTTATATTTTCATTGTGTTCATCAGTCGAACTCTGGAACCAAACTCTCTGTACGCTGTTTTCTCGTGGTTCTTTTTTTCTTGTTCTGTTTTTTAAAGTACACAGACTTTATTTTGCTACTTTTATCACTGAAGGTCGTAGCTGTCTTTTTAAAAATGCAGTCTGTCTTTGAGCCGTGTGTTGAAAATGTGCTCTTGGATCCTGAAAATAAAGGATTTTGTGCAAT